ATTAAAAAGCAAATTCCATTTTTACTGTGGCAGTGCCTGTACTCTGAATATGAGATGTCCACTGCAGGAAGCAGTCAGATTTCCTGTGCGTGTTGCTTTGTTATGTAGTTATCACTGTATTATGTGAAAAGTCTTACTTCAGAGCTTGTAACATCAAGAACATCCCCTTCTCTGAGCATGCTAGGATTACAACTGAACATTAAAATCAGACTTTATATTCCCCAAACATTCTCCTGTTTGTTTCTTTCACTGTACCACCACCATCACACACAAATGCACACATGCACAAATAGAAAAAAACTTCATTCAGCCACATACTTTCTTACTCAGGCAGTCTCTTTACATAAAGTACATGGAGCCTCATGAGACCAATCCAGCCAAGAGCAGGAAATCAGAAAGGTGAGGTAAGGGGAGGATCTTTGAGATCTTTCCCTCTCTTTTCTATAATTTGTCTTGTGATGGCAGGTAGACAACAGGAGGAAGAAAATGCCAGGAAAGTACATGCACAAACAGATAAGTGTTCTGTGTTCAAGGCATGATTCTAGAAAGTATTGTTTGAGGTCAGAGATGTTGCTGCTTATGAACCATATTTCCCCATGTCACTACAGTTTGCTTTATTGTATTTGGTTTGTTCTCAATGCCATGTAAATGACCAGCAATTTCTGACCCTAAAACTTTATTTAAATCAATGATTCCAGACTTTGAATTTATGATATCATGTGATTGATTTAATTTTGTAACAGGACTGCTGTCTTTAAAATTTTAAATATTTATGCTTTTACTTATATTGCACAATATTCCTTAAGTTAGTCTTAGGTATCTATGTTTTTTTAAAAAAAAAAGTCAACTTGGAATCTTCCACTTCAGCCATATCTATAACAGAACACAGTATTATTTCTACCTTTATTTGAAAATTAAGAATTGCATATATTTTGTAGTCTCCATTAACAGGTATTGAGGAAAGGTAGTGTATCATTATTCGCTGGGCTTCCAGTGCAAGTATAGCTCTTTTACATTTCAATACTTTAGGGAACCTGACTTTAGTCCAGTAAAACACTTTATGCCATTCTAGCAGAAACACTGCTATTATTTGTAGTGACTTACCTATTAAGGCAACCAAATTGATAATAATGAAAGCTAGTACATAGAGAATGTAGTATGTGTACTGTGAGGCTATAAGATACATAATTTTTGTATACCAAATAAAAGTATAAATAATACTGTGTTCTATAGATGTGGCAGAGGCAGAAAATTTCACACTGATTTTTTTTTTTTTTGATGTGGACTATTTTTAAAGTCTTTATTGAATTGGTTACAATATTGCTTTTGTTTTATAGTTTGGTTTCTTGGCCAGGAGGCATGTGGGATCTTAGCTCACTAATCCGGGGTCAAAGCCACATACCCTGCACAGGAAGGTGAAGTCTTAACCACTGAACTGCCAGGGAAGTCCCACACTGATTTTTTAAAAAAACATATATAAACAAGTTCCTCTAGGATTAACAGAATTGTGGCGTATATATGTCCTAAGCAATTTTCATATATTAACTCATTTTTTGTAGTACTCATGGAAATTCTAAGGCATAAATACTGCCTTTATTTGCTGAACAAGCATACAGAGGCCCAGGGATGTTAAATAGTGTGCCCTTCCTCATCCTCTTTAACAAGGTGTAAAACACAGCCGGTCTAGTGGTCAGGCCTCGCAGTCTGGCTTAAGCTATACTCTTTCCCACTGCAATTATCTATGTGTTTCTTGTTTCTTTGCATGGAGTACTTTCTTTGCCATGAGAAGTACCTTTCTTTAATAATAAACATTTTTAACACTTTTAAAAAATTACTTCTACTAAAAAGTTTCCTATTTTAGTACAGTTTGGTAATTGTTTTTCTTGAATATGTTTGTTCAAAGTCCTGAAACTTATAGCTAAATTCATCAGAAATTAGTAGCAAAATGAACAGCCCTTTCAGGTATCAATATTGACTTCACAACACCTGTCAAAAGATACTCTTTCGCAAGTTATGGTTAGTTTTTCCTGATATATCCATACCACAACACCAGATATATCCAAGTTAGATTAATTTCCTCATCACCCCTCTCAGTGGGTGTCACAGGAAATTTTCAACCTTGCCGATGATAATGACACTAAGAGACAGCCAGAGGATACTTACAGTTCTTTTACTCATCAAAATAAGAGAGTTAATATGGTTTGTGAGTCTGCTGTAAGGCTTCAGAATTTTAAGATTTGGGTTTTCCAGTTTTCTACATAGATTAATAGATTATCACTTGCAATAAACTACATTATACCAGATAACTGCATCTAAACTAGCAGGAATTAGTGTATAATCCTATAAGGGCTCTTAGGAAGAAGTTTCTATTTTTGGATATATCTTACTGATTTGACATTTTCTTCATAAAATCTGATTATCACTATTGAAAATTTTACATTTGAACTTTTAGATTAATAAAGAGTCTTGTGAAAGGTTATCATCCGAATGTCCCATATTTCTCTCATTGTTAAACTATGTTGTGTTCTTTTGTCACTAATAAAATTTTTGGTCATATTTACTAATGTAATACGCACTTCAGTTCACAAGTACACCCTAGGCATGATGTATAAAGAATGGATGTCAGAGTTTGATGACAAGAGGTATTTGTTCAAGGACAACCTCAGGATTTGTTAGAGTCATTTACAAGTGATACCTCACCTTATAAAATGTGGCAAAAGGAAAACAACACACATGGTATAAAGATGATAATAAACATTATTCTTTAGAAGCAATTCCAAATATATATATATATATATGTATGCTTTATACATAATAACTTTTGTTGTCATAAATTCATCTGCATTAGCCCAACATCTAGGACTTTAACCAGCTTTTATGTTCAGCTGATTTTAAGTGACATTTTTCCTGACATAGTCCTTCTTTGTATTGTAGACATATAGCTCTGAGCCATCAATGTCAGTTCCAGGGTATAATTAGGAACTGTGACAATTTTATCTGTGAAAAGCTTTATAGAATTTTCAATATTAATAATATTATTTCCAGGTTTATTAGACATTACTGTAATTTCTACTTTCTTTTGACCTTGATTTCTGTTTAACGAAGCTGTTCTTCCCTCACAATTTGGGGCTAGTTCAGATTCTTAAGACGCTTGGTTCCTTCTTCCCTCCCATTTGAAAATTATATATTGAAAACTACTACTTTCATGGCTGTTTTCTTCTAAAAGCAGTGGTTCGTAATTGAGGCAGATTTCCCCTCATAGAAATTCACAGCTGCAAGAACGTCCTCTTTCCCAGTGGGTTAGTAAATAGGCTTTTGTGAGAATTCTCTATTGGAATATTTCTCTTGATTAAAGGGTCAAAGACTGAGAGTCTGTTGTGCTTGGTGCTAAAAGAACCAACCACCTGCAGCTGGGCATTGAACACTTTGGAAATGCAGAACTTAGTTTTCATTTTTGTAATGAGTAGCTTGAAAGCAACAATTTTTCTTAAAAAACTAAATTCAGACATGACCTTTAGACCAAATTAGATTTTAATAGTGAATGCATTGAGGCATGCAGTCAAAATACTGATAGGCTGCATTCCCTAAACAGTGTAGCTTTATGCAGCCTATTAATAACAGCATACACATATTTAACTGGCAAATGTGATTGCCGTGCCTACTAGTCTCGTTTATTCCCCTTTATTGTTCCAATTGATTAATCACCCTGTACATAAAAGTCCCAATATTTGGGGAAAATGTATCCCTGCTGTAGGAAATCATCCCTCGCAAGTCCAACCCAAGCCACTGTCAACTTTCTCACTGGCTTGCCCGCTTCCACTCTCCTCCAGTTACCTATTGTATGTAGTGGGAGGTTAAGAGCACGCATGGGGAAGCTAACTTACTTGGATTTAAAATTCTGGCCCTGCTATAGCTGCATGGCCTTGACTGTGCTATTTATTTAATCTGTTGCCTCTGTTTCTGTCTGCAAAATGAGCATTACTATACCTCCAGGGTTGTTCCAAGGATTAGTTAACATAAAGTTCCTTAAAATAGTTGGTGTGCTGTTAAATGCTAAATAGGCAACTCGTACAAAATAAATCAGATACTGCTCCTTTGGACAGCTTCCTAAATATCCTCACACTTGAAAAATAAAATCTGACCTCCTATCCAAGTGCCTATAAGCTTGCTCTGATCTCATCCCCCATTTCTCTGTTGGCTCTATTCCTGCTACATAAGCCTGTCCCCAGAGACACTAAGCAGTTCTGCTTCAAGGCCTTTGCACTTGTAATTCCCTCTTCCTGGAATTCCCTTCCAGAATTTTGCATTGCTCACTCACTTGGGTAGTTGCTCAAAAATTCAGAGGCCTTTTCCATGCACACACCCAACACATGTATCCTCATTCTCTAGTCCCTTGCCCCATTTTCTTTGTAGCATTTATCACCACTGACATTATATTGTTCAGTGTCTTTCTTTCCTAACAGGAGTGTAAACTGAGCAGAGAGATTTTATTTTGGTCATTCCTGTAGTCCTGCATCTAGACCACTTGGCATTGGTAGAGCTTAGTAAATACTTGTGGGAAGAATGGAGTTAAAAAACAAATCCCAAGTTAGAGAACAGTATTTTTACCCTGAGGACTACTGACTTTAACTTATTATACATTTTTTTTTGGTAGTGTGCACCTAACATTCCCTACTCCCATACCTTCACTTCAATCCAGGCTGTCTCATCAGGCTACCACTCACTTTAGATTGGCTTTTCAGAATAAACATGAAGATTAGATTCCTATATGCAAAGTAAAAGATAAGCGAACGCGACTGGTGACCTTGTTTTCAGACAGAAACGCTAAATACTGTGTAGTAAACTGAAGTCTATACTTAGCCAGGTTTGTTGAACATTATTTTTAATGACACAGCTATCTATAAAGACCTATGAAGATTTCAGGTCAGATTATGAATAGGTAGTACTTTGTGACTAAAGCATACATACTTTCAATTAGTTTTTTCTTTTCTTTTTTGCAGGTTAATGACTCCAGACAGTGAGATCAGATTTGTCCAGAAGGAGATGGGCATAATACCAAGCTGGGGCGGTGCCACCCGGCTGGTTGAGATCATCGGCAGTAGACAAGCTCTCAAAGTATTAAGTGGGGCCCTTAAGCTGGATTCAGAAAAAGCATTACGCGTAGGAATGGTGGAGGACATCTTGCAATCTTCAGACGAAACTGAATGTCTCAAAGAAGCGCAAGAGTGGCTACAGCAGTTTGTCAAAGGGCCACCAGAAGTAGTCAGAGCTTTGAAAAAATCTGTTTCTTCATGCAAAGAGCTTTGTTTAGAGGACGCATTACAGAGTGAGAGAGATCTTCTAGGAACACTTTGGGGGGGACCAGCAAATTTAGAGGCTGTTGCTAGGAAGGGAAAGTTTAATAAATAATTTTTAAAAATACATAAGTAAGTAAAGTCGCTCAGTCGTCTCTGACTCTGCGACCCCATGGACTGTATCCTACCAGGCTTCTCCCACAGGATTTTCCAGGCAAGAGTACTGGAGTGGGTTGCCATTTCCTTCTCCAGGGGATCTTCCGCACCCAGGGATGGAACCCCGGTCTCCCGCATTGCAGGCAGATGCTTTACCGTCTGAGCCACCAGGGAAGTCTTAAAAACACACACTGCAAGTGAAGACCCCAGCGATTAGTATGTGTAAAAGCCGAGTGGCGTCAGAGCTGCTCAGAAGGTGGTGGTTGTGTTTGTGATATTAGTGTAACAGCTGTTCCACTGAACTCAGTTGGTCTAATTTTCAGTTTATTCAGGTAGTTGCTAAGTAATTTTGAATCTCTTAACTAAAATACACAACACTTTTGGCTTAAACATAATCATTAATTCCCAGATTCCCATGACAGTTATTAGGCTATAACCAAAGGCTAGTTTTTAGGGAAAACTACACAAAACCTATTCCTGGTGTTCTTTCTCATAAAGTATTTGTCTTGTCTTAATCTGGAAGTAATTTACAAAAATAATATAATGAAGCTTAGAGAACAAAAGTGGAAAGGGGTCGGGGGACAGGAAGATATGTAGTTATGATTAGTCCTTTCTTCTGTTCCATGCAGCTGCATTAAAGAAGTCATGGACTTCTTTTAAGTATGCTCCTCACCCCACCCTTCTACAAACTTGGACCTTATTTGATCTTTTAAATAATTGCTAGATTTTTATTTTTGGTTATCTACGAAATGATGGCCACCATACAAAAAGTCTGACTCTACACAATTGGCCAGTTGATTTGTATGCACCAGAATTTCCAAGCTAGCAGTTACTATAGTTTATGTAGTAATCACTTTTCTTTGATCAGAGACTCATGAAGCATCGTGTTACACATGAATCAGATTTTTTTTTTTCCTGAGAAGTAGCTATCTTCTAGGTGTATTTAAAAGTAAATTTAATAATAATGGATGACAGACTTTTATGATCTTAGTAATACAGACTTAAAAAAAAAATCTAAGTCAAAGAATTAAGTCCTAATCTTATCACAAGAGGTAAAAGGTAATTTTATTAGTGACAGTTTATATTTACTATTGTAATATTCAATTCACACTTGATAAACTGTACTAAAGACAACTTGCACATGCTTCATCAACATAATCTTGCTGTTTTGATTTAGGAAAATATAGAAGATAAACTCATGTTACTTTTCTGCAGAATCAAATTCTGGATTACCAAATTAACCCGGCATTTCCAACCTTGCTGTAGATTGTACAACATTCTGTGTTTGTGTTGAGTCAGTTTGTGTCTACTAATGCTGTTTAGAAATAAACCTACCATTTAAATCATATTGGTGCTAGCCATTAATGAAGACTGGCAAGGAAAACCCAGTATATACATAGCCTCTACTATCAAGTTATTTAAGACAGGCTTTCCACACATAATTATTCCATGAAAATTCCCTGGAGACTGTTTAAATATTCTCTATGAAGAAATCATACTTTTCTGAGCAAGTAACCATGTGAGCTGAATACAACCACCAATTCAGACCACCACCTTTTTAGTGACCTTTTGGCCACAAAATGTTTCCATTCCCTTCCAGATTCAAACAAGAAACACACTGATAAATTCTAGTATTTATTAAATTATAAAGTCTGTAATCAAAAAAAAATGTGGATCAAGAGAAACCTCTAACTACAAGGACTAGATGGCAAAGCCTATGGGAACGTCATGAAGTGTGTTACAGACAAGATTCTGAAACATAAGTTATAAGCTGTTTTCTTTACATTTCCATTTCAGTAACCTTACTATTAAATAGTTGTTGTTGTTCTATTTTAAAACCCCAAATTCACATTTGTTCTCACGTTAAGCTTTCTGTTCATACTGATACCAGACTTCCTGTAGGTGCCAAATTTTAGTAATGGTTTTATGTTAGTCCATGCAGAAAAATAGGAACAAATGCAGTAGTCAGATAAGGACCATTAATGCACAGATAATACACACACGCTGGCCAAAAAAACTGAAGGTATTTTAAAAAACTATAAACAGACCTCAAGAAAACTGGGTTATTACTAAATAGCTCTCAACTATTAACACCCAAGTTCCTTATATTAAATAAATTTCTCAACAGAGATGTGTTAGACATTTTAATTACAGGTCTATCCTTCCCATACCCTTTCCCACCCCAACTCCCAAAATGCACTACTAGGGATGAGTATAATGTTACGTGGGCAGAAATTTACAGATAACCATTTTCATCTTGAGCATGGATCTGAAAACTTTTTTATTTAAACTTCCGTTACTGTGCACTGTCCATCAGGCCTTCGAGATCTGACACTCAGTGTTCCACCCGCTGCCACTGATCGATCAGTTCCTGATCGATCAGATACTGTCTGATTTGGATTAGGAACCAGAAGTCTCTGTTGGGTCAAGGAGTGTTGTGCAACAAGCGCAGATACATCCTCACTATCACTACTGGCATCAGATTCGGTTTCTTCAATCGAAGTGTTTGGTGCTGGTACCCTACCTAAAGATGGCGATTCATGCTCTTCTTCTCCTTCCCCTCTATGACTCCTTTCCGCTATGCTGTCTCCACTGAGTTGTAAATGTGCAAAAGAGTCTTCCAGAGAAGTGCTTGCATCAGGGGATGGAGTGGCGGGGCTTGTTAGCTGACCATCTACTGACGTCAGGGGCCTCACAGAAGAAGACTGAACAGAAACTCCGCTCTGAGCCGGTACACTGTCCGCTCCATCAGCAGAGCTCTCTCTTGCTAGGTTTACGGTATTAGCATCACAGTCCAGCCTAAGTCCGGCTACTCCCTTCTTTGGTATATCTATTATATCCCGCTTGATCTTCCTGCGACGTCCATGTTCGTTTCTCCTATACTGTACCATATTTTCAAGATCAGCAACATACAGAAACCCGGCAATTAACATTTCAGTGCTCTTTTTACCTTTGGAAAAAGCATCTTCCAGCTCTCTGCTAGTGCGCTCATCATACTGCCACCACCCATTTCTCCCTTCGTAATACCAGGCATATTCACCATTTCCTCTGCTTGCTGCTTTGAGTTCTTCTGGTGACAACAAGGTTGGCTTATCAAGGAAATCTTCGGGAATTTCTTGTCGACAGAGGGCACATCGCTTTCCAAGCCACGAAGCTCCCTTCACACATAGATAGCAGAAAACATGCTTACAAGGCAGACTGACTGGGTGAACACATGTCTGCAGACAAATGGCACATTCAGGGACAGTTAGAGAAGGTGCAGTATTAGAACAGGACTCATTTGCTTTCCTGTTCGTAGGAAGCATGTTTAAAGAGTGATCAATTTCTCCACAGCCAGCCATCCTGAGAAAATGAGAGAAAATAACGTATAATATTAAAATCTTGTTTTAACTCTTTCAAAATCTTAATTCAACATTCAGAAAACACTTATTAAGCACCAATTATATGCAAGTCATGTCCTAGACAATGGGGACACGAAACTGAAAGAGAAAAAAAATATTTTTGATTTGAATTTATTCTTATTTGGGGGGGGGCAGTGAGGCACAAATAAAAAGGTACAACCAAAGTATAGATTTGAAATAAATATGCCATTTTTATTCACAGAATAGAACTAAATGCAAAGATTTTAAAATGTACAATCCACTTAGACTATCAGTCTGGAAAGTAGAGAAAAACAAAAAAATGGTTAAAAATAATTCAGATTACAATCACAGAAAGTAAATTTTGTAGCCTTTTAGGACACCACTAAGTGCAATTTTGCAATACTTCCATGTATTAATGTACTTCTGGCAGTTGACAAGTAGACCACATAAAGTGACTAGAGCTGAAATCCTAGACACCAGAGAAACTCCCTTTCTCTGCTGTGTAATCTTAAAAACACTGGTTAAAACCAGTCATCTCATTCCCCCTCTGTGAAACACCTTTTAGTGACCTTTTTTATTGTTGCTGGCTTTTTCTAAACCACACATATGTTCCTCTTGCTGTACTCTTTCAAGATGATCTCATATACATTCATGGCTTCAATTACTACCAACTCCTAAACTGATAATCACCAGCCCAGGTCTTTCGTTTTAGCCCTAGAACTATCTTTTAATTGCCTACTTTAGTGCTCTTCTTGGCTGTCTTAAAGGGACAAAAACTGAATTTGTGATGTTTCCTCCTTATTTACTTACTCCCTAAATGCCCCTCTGGAGACACCTCTATTCATTTGCTTTTCAAGCCAGAAATCCATCACTGAAGCTGTCCTCCTAACCCCTCCCCATTCAAAACATCAGCAAGTCTTAGATTTTATCTCCTATTAAATATCCCCTAAATCCAACTACAGTCCATCTCTGCCCTTCCCAAGTCATCAAGTAAACACTATTAATGGGTCCGGCCTTATGTCTTGTTAAAAAGTTGGTTTCAGGTTCGAGACCAGGATCTATATTCCCTGCACAGTCTGTCTGGACGCCAGCTCCCATGCCAGCTTCATCTCACACCATGCTTCCTGGACTTCAGTTTTCTTATCAGTAAAATGTTTTGACTCAATTCCCTTTTCTAAGATCTAATACACGCTTGCCACACACTACATAATAAATACTTGCTAAACTGAATTTAGCTCCTCTCGTTTCTGTTTATTGGCAAAAGCTATACACATATTGTTCTCAGAAAAAAACTGAAAACAGTTGTAAGGCACTGACTAACTAGGTTTCATTCATCAGGTCCTACTGCTACATTTAAACCACAGAATAACTTGAAACATTCTGTTAACAAAAAGAACTAAAATTAGCTAGAGAAAGGGTATACAATGTATTGTTTTGTCCCTTTCAATTAAAAAAAATTCACTGTCAGAAATTCTGAAAAATCTTTTTTAAATTTCCACATTTCAGTTCAGTTCAGTCGCTCAGTCGTGTCTGACTCTTTGTGACTCCATGAATCAGCACTCCAGGCCTCCCTGTCCATCACCAACTCCCAGAGTTT